CGCTTCATTCACCGAATCGATTTTAAAAACCATGTATAGGGATATGCTTAGTAACAAAATGCTTCCAACAGTGTCCCAAGAGGCTACTGCATCCCACATAGGGAACATCTCGAGTCATTTTATTCATGGGATAGTTGGGAACATCTCTTTTTGCAGAGCACTTTGGGAGTTTGGGACTGAAAAGGATCAGCCATAGACATAGTGCAAATTGAAAATGGGCCCACCTCAAGGCTGCCATGCGTAATGATCATCATGATAAAGTGGATTCCAAGGATTCCAGCTCTTTCACGTACACACCAAACGCTCCCTCTTTTGCTTCATCACTCTTCTCTCCAAACTCCAATCCAATGAACTTGAGCCGAAGTGCCAAACCCAAGCCGAGCTCATCATGGTGGCTGGGAGCCAATCCTCAAACCCAGCCAGCCAGCTGGTCAAGATGGACCGTTGAAGAGAACTCTTTAATTCTTTTATGTACAGAACAGTTGCTTCGCTCAGTATATATAGTTTGTCTACACTCTACGTGCATCAGTTACGCTTCCGCCATTGCTGCTAGCTAGCTAGGGAGGAAGATGAACCAGAAGCCTTGCTCTTGTCTCGCCATGGACATCAGAAGTTGGTGCAATTCAGGCAGTAGAAGCATCCGACTGGGGCGAAGATACATAGATAGCGACTACGATGATTTTCTGTCGTTTAATCTGCCGTCCAGCTCCCACCGATCAACCACGCCCAGGTGGAGAGTGTTATGGAGAAGGATAATGAAGGAAAAGAAGAAGATCTTCTATTCTTCGTCTCCGCTCCAGGTTCCTTACGATGCCTACTCCTATTCGCAGAATTTCGATCAAGGGTCGGCATGGACTGAGCCTGATAACCTCTCTCGCTCCTTCTCCGCTCGCTTCGCCGACCCATCCAGGATCTTTCAGAAGAAGGGTCTGGTGGGTTGATGGGAGAAATGAGAATGAAGAACTTTTTTTCCTTTTTTTTTGTGTTCATATCTTCTCATCTTTGTATGATCAAAACCCATAACCATTAGTTGTAATCTTTCCTTTGTCAATGATCGGAAGTTCCATATGTTTCTCGTCTCTCTCTGGAATTGGATGGAGCCAATGAAAATATCAAATTGATCTCCTTTAAAATCACCAACTTACTTATAAGTCTCTTACTCTATTCGATTTCATGAATTTTAAGTCTAAAACGAATGCAACTCAGGTCTTGTTAATGGGGTCTCAACCAGAGAAGCTGAGAATGAAGTTTTGACCAGACTGAAAACCTGAATCGATCAAAAGGAGCAACACAAGATAAGATTAAAAAGAAAAGCTCGGAAGTACTTGATTCCTCTTTTATCTTTTACTTTATTCACTAGCAAGGGCAGATGCTTGGGATACAGGGATAGGGGGCGCTAATGGCCCCTCAGGCCAACTTTTTTTCCATACCCAGAAGGTGGAGGGCACTATAATAAAAGCAGAAGGAATCTTCCAGTATTTGTTTCCGGGATTTTGCTTACAATATACTGAAAGTCAGGTTTCTCTAAACAGATCCAACACAAGAGAACGATTCCTTCCTTATTAAATGGTTTTTTTGTTTCCCTGTTGGCAGTTTGGGACTGGACCCTGGAGTCAATGGACAGCCAAAGAAGGGTTTTCTTTAAGGCTATGTTTGGTTTGAAAGAAAAAGTAGGGATTGTAAAGGTTTCCCTACCTTTCCTTCCTTTTCTTACTTTTTCCTTCAAACCAAACACAGCCTAAGTGGCCATAGGATGAATCAAGTGTGGACATATGGATCTGATGGCCCAAAACCTGGCTGTGCTAAAGTCCAGAAAATCAACTGTCTGATCAAACTTATGACCAATTGAGTCATGGCCTCATGGGCTATTTTCAACATAAACAAAAAAATTAGATGCTAAAGTCCAGAAAATCATGTGCCCTTGATCAGTAGGCTACTTACTACCTGATCTCTGTGTGTGAAAGACCAGAGCTGAAGTTCCGGAAGCCTGTTCAAGAACCTAAAGAAATTTTAATTACTGGGCCCAAGGCTGAACTATATGTTGCAGTATCATCATTCATATGTGCCAAAACGAAGGTCTCTGTCATACAACTATTCATCTTTATTTCAGCTTGAAGAAAGCGTAGAAAAATGGTAGCTGAACAAATCAGAACTCCTTACAAAACCAACCAATTTATGGCCTTTCCACACTCTGTCCAGGGCATCTACCAAATTGTTTGTTTTAGTTTCAAAGGGTGTTTGTCAAACAATCATTCATCTTTGTAGATTGATTTCAGTAAAATTTAATGCTTATAATCCATGATTTTGTATTTGTAGCTATATTGAATTCACACAGATCCATACATATACAACGATTCATGTACAAAGTCTCCTGAAACCTTTTATTCTTACAATACGGACCCGTCAGGATCCATTAATATAATGACTGAAAAGGTGACACCTGCCGGAGTGCCCACAACCAAAAACTCAGACCCGAGAATGTACTTTCTGGACCAACTTTGGGCACCTAACTAAAGGAGAGATCACGATCATCACATACTGATTAGATCCGGGTATTTGGATCCAAATTGATTCTTTAATATTTGGAATTCAATCTGATCTTATGATCCGTTAAATTCGGATTGAATTCTAATCTTATATATAATTTTATACTAAATTAAAAATGGGATTTAACTAGAAATTACTTTGATATTGTATAGCAGGAATAGAATGACTTAAAAATTAACTTACAGAATATGAGAAACATATTAACCCTTTATTAAAAATGTAACACTCAAACTTGGTTTGCTAATAAATGTGTTTCAACTTTCAATTTTATTTAATTATACTAGTTGAGAGTCATGCCTCAAAGAAGAGAGAGAGAGAGAGTCAATGCCTTGAAAATAAGGCAACTTGAGCTCATATTTGTACTATGAAAGTGCCAACTAGCTCAATTGGTGTCTAATTGTAGTGGAGACTTTGGAATTGGCCTTCACCAGGGTTAGGGGGTTATGGGTTTGGGGGACAGGCTACCCCTTGTCCTTGTGTGTAGCCCCATATCATAAGAAAAGGAAAAATAAAGAAGAAAGAAAGGATTCATATTTGTTGTAGTACTAGTAGTTGGATTTTCACAACCGAGGGTGAGCAATCATGCCATGTGAGGTACAATTTGGGTGACCTACTGGCCTTTGGGTTGAGAATTTGTTAAAATTTGAATGGCCTAGGCCTGAAAGCCCACACTTGAAAGCAATGTACATTCCTCAAATCAAGCATCAACTTGCATTTGTATAAAGTCAGGGCTATCTGCTATCTATACATATATGATGAGGGGCCATTGCTTGGTGTAATGGTAAAGTCTCTGCCTGATAAGAATGATTTCCAATTCGAATCTAAGAGTGGCATTTGTATAGAAACCATACCAAAAGTTAGGTCTGTATCTAGTCCACCCCTCCCAACAGCCAATAACTCAGATAGCCGGGACCAATATTAAGCAATGGCCTCTTTTTTAAAGGTTGTATGATACCTTTTAGATTTCTCCTGATAAAAAAAAAAAGAAAAAGAAAAAGAAAAGTATTTATTTTCAGCCTCTTAATAATTGATTTAGGGATTTTCTTTTGCTGATTCGATAGTTGTCTTCAATAGAATAAAAATTGGGATAAAAAGCTGAGAGGTTTTAACTTTTGTTAGAAGCCTTAGGAAGCTCTAAGAATTTTCCCTTTGATCTATCAGATCTGGAGCTTATTATGTATACACAGTCAATTTTAAACAATGGGCACACATAGCCAGAAAATATCAAGGGGGCGTTCTTTTTTTATGGATTTGAGAGGGGGAACGTTGGTTAATGGGATTTTGGTTCTCATTGACCAAAAATTCCATATTATTTTTTCAGTTTTATGTGAGGATCAAGGAAAGTTTATTTTCCTGTGTATCACTTGTCTAGGAAAGTATACCCATCTCCTAGGTGGGTAAATAACTTTCCCACATAGGGGGAAAGTTGTCAACACTTGAATGGAACAAAAATGCCCATTTTAATAATAAATTTCTATGACTAAAATGGTCATTGCCTTATTTACATGAAAAATAAAAGAAAATGGGTAAATGCACTTACCCGGATAAATTAATTACTGAAAAATGAATGAGCCCAAATAATAATAATAAAGAAAATGCTCCCAGCCTGTAAACTGCTGGGAGCATTCCAACCCTCATAGACTTGGTTGATTATCGATCCACCTCTTTTCCCGAATTCACATGACTATGTCCATAGTCTTAAAGATGACTGAATCTGTACAATTTGATCAACCAACCAAAAATTTAAGCGCGGTCTACCCACTGTCCCCACCACTCTTGTTTGGTTCACATCAACGACCAAAATCTTCCATTTGTCCACCAAATGCTTTCAACCCTTTTCAGTACTTCACCAAAATCCTTCATTTGATCTAGCAATGGCCTCAATACTTTAAAAGCATTTCACCAATATTCTCCCTCTTTCACCAACAGCTCCACACAGAGTTGGGAGGTGCCAAACCCAAGCCAGCCGTGAACCGGCTAGCTATCAGGCATATTTACCAGACCAACCAAGCGAAATAATGTTTTATTTGTCCGTCCTCTGAAACACAGTTTTGCGATCATACCATCATGAAATAACGAGTCATATAGAGGCCGCCAGGCCACGGCCATGGAGGAAGGACTCTAAGCAATCAGTGTGGCACTGGCACAAGATTGTGATTTCCTCGAGATTTTTCCCCACAAGAGAGCATTCCACATATACACGCATACATGGTGTTTTAGTGAACAGATGTGTCATTTATGCAAATCTCATGCAATTACTAAGAGCACCCTCCATTGCCCACCACGCATTGACCAAATATGTCATACGCTCACTGTTATCAGACAAGTCATGCAATGCTGACAGCCTGCCATTGAAGATCTGGATTTGCAGAGTCTCTAAGGAGTAGGCATAGCAACAGTTCCCTGTGGCTGTTTTCGGGTTGGAATATAACTGCTACGTGACAGATGCATACTTACAAATAGATATAGACCATACAGTCAATGGGGCACGGGCACATCTTGGCTCAGCCATGACCCAGATATACAATTCATAAAAATCAAGATGAGAAATCAGAAATGTTTTGCTGTACCCATCAGTATCAAACAATATATGAATGGGAATAGAAGTTCTTTGATTTTTATTTAATGGGAGAGAATGAGTTTTTTTTTTTTTAACTAAAGATAAAACATGTTGGGTAAATGATAATACTCGATTCTTTTTTCATGTATATTTAAAATGAGAACAATTTGTAGCTAAAATTTCACACTGCAGCTGGTTTGTTAGCTCCATGTTTACAGGGGACTCCTTGGTTTTGGTTTTTCAACTCATCACCAGTCACTAGAAAGAATGCTGTGTGCCTGAAAAAGGGAAATAAATGATCTCATAATCTGTTGGTAAAAAACAAAAAGAAATTAAATCAAAAGGTACAACTAAATTGGGAATTAATGGCAAATAGGTGATTCATGGGAGTAAATATTTTCCTGAAAAAATTCATCATTTTGATTTTTGAATCGGCATCAATTTCTGGGACACTGTCCAATGCTTGCTGCATGTGGTGTAACCACCTCTCTGCTGCTCGATGTGTCACAGGGAATGGCCGGTGACGTCCAATCAGTGCTGGATGACCTGTTAAGCAAAATAGAAAGAAAAAAAAGGAAACATTATTAGTTGTTTTCCACTCTATGCATCCTCTGCCTAAATAGACACATGGATGAACCCAGGATGATCAAGTTTCTTCCTAGCATATTATCAGAAATCTCATATTACTTGCAAAGAAAACTTCTGACTACTTAGCAAACTCATCCAAATACTTGGAGAATCATATCCTAACTCTAAGCCTATTGTATTGATTGTTTAGCAAGTTTTGGTTCAAATTAAGCACAACAAAATAATTACTAAATTTTATATTTAAATTAAGGTTTAAAAGTTTTGATTCAAATTTCTATTTTAAATAAAAGTTTGAAATACCAGACATGAGCAGGACGAAAGATGCCAAGCAGAAAATATGTTTCACACCTTTCAAGGCCATACAGTCTATGACAGGAAAGAAAAAACAAGGTTTTTGCAGCAAATCCCTACTCCTGAACTGATAGAGATTCAAGAGAAAGGCACATCACAACGATCATATATTGGATCCAAATCAGGAAAATTGAGTAGATAACCATTTGGCAGTCCCTCCATCCTGGTCTCCCCCATACAAGAAAAGACCACAGCTCCCTCCCTAACTAAAGAATCAGTGATGTTATTAGCTGCTCTTGATATGCTTTAGGTTCGAATTTGAGGATGTAAATTGTCAGCAGTGGGGTTTGAACCTACACTTTTTCTCAAGGACCAGAACTTTGGGTGTAACTTACGTGGATAGGGCTGTTTTTAGGGCAAAATTCCAACACTGAGCTTGTAACAACTTTGGCTAGTTTAGAAAATAAATAAATAAAAGGAACAACGATTGGAATGTTATTACATGCATTAGTTGTAAATAGTGAACATAAATGCATAATGTGTCCCAGTTATACATATGGTGTAAATATGTAGATGTTCATCATAGTCTCGTAGATATATTTTTGCATATAGTCCACATGTGTCTGTGGACATACATGTTCAATTCAGATTTGTACGTCCACCATAGAATGATAGACGTATCTTATGCATAACCAAGCCTAACCTGAACTTGAATCATGCCCGACTTTCCAAGACCTAGCCTAGCAAATATCCAAGCCCAACCCATGCAAAGCCTCAGGGTGGGCCAGACGATGTTGCACCTCTAAGCATGATGAGTTCACATCTGTGCCCCACAATGGGGCGCCCGACAATGCCCCACAGCACATCCCCACCTTGTATCGGGAACATCTCCCGATAACAAGTATGGGAGATGATGAGACATCATTGGGAAATGTTCCCAATACAAGGTAGGGATGTGCTGTGGGGAATTGTGGGGCGCCCCCTTGTGGGGTGCAGATGTGAACTCAAGCATGATACCTGGAAAACTTTACAGTTTACAGATAGTATACTAGTGTTGGACATGATACACATCCAACATGGCACTGAACATCGACACTTTATAGGATTAACACTTTAAAATATTTTTTCTTTGGGTTATGGCTACACAAAAGGAGGTAGCCCTGGACCAAACCCCAATACCCCCAACCCAGGTGAAGGCAGGACCAATGTTTTAAAGTGCGGAGGCGTGATGCGAGGTGCTCCGCTACCTAGGGGTATGAGGCATAGTTCAGAACGTAAGAGGCATAAGCCTCCCCCGAACACAAGGAGGACGCCTCCTTAAGAGGAGGGGGATGAAGAGGAAGGAGGAGGAAAGCGTAAGCCTCCTCAGAGGTGTCAGCGCCTTTGCCTGCGCCTCAGGGTGTTTTGGGGGCACCTTGCCTGGAGGCACGCCTCCAGGTGTACGCCTCCCACGCCTTTTAAAACACTGGGCAGGACTCAATCCCAGGTCTCTGCTGCAACCAGCTAGAGACTTTACCAGTGGGCTAGCTAGCACCTTCCACTTTTAAAACATTTGAAGTGGTAATGTTTTAACAAATCATGTTATAAAGAAGAGCTACATATTTTAGAAGTTGAATTAAATTTCACAGAATACAGTACTGAGAAATGACATTTAGCTTTAAAAACTAGATATAAAAGAATGATATAAGCATATTAAATAGGATACTTACATCAGTATCTATGTCTAAGGTCTTGGAAAATGGAGACTAGTATCCCTACTTCCCATATCTATATTCATGTCAGTATCTGGGCATCATAGGGGTAATCATTAGCCCAGCTCAACCTGGAATGCATGTTATACACACACACATCACCCTGACATTATAGCCACTTCACTTATTTAGTGGGTATTTGGCATGGCTGCGTTTTAAGTCTCGGTGTTGGTACTAGATTTGTTGCATTGGATTTCAGGATACTGAAATGTTTTGGCACATGATAATTTTTTATTGTTTTGAAACGAAGCACTACTGGGCACCCCTCTGTTGGGGAAACTTTTTGAGGTTTCCCTCAACACCTCTATGCACATAACTCTATGCAAATGGTAGTACAAACACTTAAATAGATTTTACGCAACCAAACAGGATTTCTGGAAGGTAAAACCAAAATGCTTATATAACACCTAGCTGGACTTCAAATACAAAAATAATAGAAACACAATACAGCCATTCCAAACACGAGACAGGAAAGCAAAAGGCGTTCCACATGCTGATAGCAAGGCATGCAACCGCATATTGGGAACATCTCTCCATGAATTTGACATACAAGCATGGGAGATATTTCCAATGTGCAGCTGGATGCAGAGACCTGATGTATTGGAATAAAGAAGTATGTATGAATGCAGAGGACTAGATTGAATTAGAGGAGGTGGATATCGTAGCAAAGGTATGTAGTTAAGCTGAGGATGGAAAGCGACATCAAGCACAAATATAAATTCTTTGTTCGTAATAATAAATACCTTATTCAGTCAAAGAAGAATACTTAAAATGATATGGAAACTGACATATACAATATGTAATATGCAAATGCAACACACTGAATCAGCAGCCAACTTCAGGGATCCAAGCCAATAGAACCTTACTGGAAACTAAAGAGAAGAAAAAAAATTGAAGAGTAAAAGAAAATTTTATTAAAGAAAAAGAGATTACATGAGAAAGGTGACAAGAGATCACCCGAGAGAAAGCATACACCAACAAATTTACACCCATGACCTCACAAAACAAGACAAAAGACTTCACAATATTCAGTTTCAAACAACTCCTAACTCAAAAAACCTAATCAGAAACCATACCCGATCTCCTTACATCTCCTCCTCAAAACTTTTCTCCTCCCCGTCAATTTCTTCATCTCACCACTCACCCCTATTCTTGACTTCCAATTTCTTCAACCTCTTTCTCTTGAAAAAAATTATGTATACCACTACACAAGCACACATTTAATCACATATACTCCTATTACACTGATTCCTATTATTGCTCAGTTATGCTGCTCCATTAACAAATCCTGCTGATACCGCTACTGCTATAATGATTGTTTTATAGGGTATCATCATTTCCCATTAAGTGATGACTAGTTAAATATAAATAATGTTAGAGGGTGGAGATAAATGAGAGCCCACTTTCTTCTCAGATGGTGTAATATTGATTAGAACATACCCAAAGGAATCAAGATGAAGGGAGAGCAGTATGCATGGCAACATACAAAAACAGAATACAATAATCACATAGGAAGACTAAAATGAAGAACTTGGCCAAGCTAGCTCACCCCAATCCAATGGCTCTATATTTCACATGCTCCAAGGAATTTCAAGTTTTCAACTGAAAGTCTAAGGAGCTAAGAAGTAAGCACATGCATTCACCTGGAAGATCTTATCAGCAGAGAATCTTTATCTTGGGTAAAATGGCTGATACAAAGCATTTACCCATGTGCCCATGTGCAAAGATAACTAATGACTGCATAAAAAATAGAGGATAAGAGGCTCTAAAGTGAGATTTAAAGTAAAAGGTTCAATTCAATACCTTGATGGTTATTTTAAATTTAGTTGGGATCAACGATGGTGCCGGGTTTTAGAGTGTTTAGGAAGAGGGTTAGGTTTAATGAAGGTTCTGATCTAACATCTCAGAAATTTCAGGCTTCCTCAAGAGAGAATATAAGAAATTTCAATGACTTGATTTCCAAAGGGAATTTTGGGCTAAATGGTGTAAGCTTTTTAGTAGAGGTGCTTTAATCAGACCAGGATCTGAACAGTCTGGGCACAAGTTCCAAGGAAAGCAAGGGCTTCAAGGAGGGTGAAGAAAAGTCAAGAAAAAGTTGCGATCTATGAAATTCTCAAATACCTCTTAATCAGATTTTTTTATAAGATAACTCTTAATCAGATACATAACAGATGAAAAATTGAATTTTAACTGGACGTTAGCTAGCTGCAATAGTTGTTTAAAGTCTTAAAGAAGATAGTAGAGATGGAAGAAAGAAACCGCAGGAGTCACTCCAAAGTCCAAGGAAACCTAGAATCACCACAGGGTTTCAATGGAAACAGCCCATGAAGCATGCAAAGAAAGGAAACCAATATTCAAGCCTTTGTTATCCTTAAACTGAAGAAAAAAGCATTCATATATAAGGCTCCTATTACCAACTGGCTATTAGCAACTTCTATTTTCTAATTACTGAAAACTACAAAATTGCCATTATGACTGATCAAAGACAAGGTAACTAAGTTACTAAATAATTAACCAAATCAGCTGGAAATTGAAATATAACCCAAACTTGACTCTGAGGCAGGGCCATAAAATGGAACATCAAATGACCAAAATACCCACATAGGCCAAATCAGCCCAACTCCAAAGAATTGTCATCCCACCAAATCAGAACTTTCCTATTGGCTTTCTTCTGTCCAAAATAGGTCAAGGCTTAGAAAGACCCCCATTACTGCATCAGTGGGAAAGAGGTGGTTTGGTGAAAGTAGAGGGCTCAAAAAGAAGAAAGGGAAGATCAAAGTAAAAAAGTGGTAGTGAGAAATGATTTAAGGACTTGACAGTTGACAGAGGGCCATGATTCCTGAAAATTGAAAGAATGCAATGACAGAACAATTTATTGAACTGAGTTGATACCATGGATTCATTGGTCACTATATCAACCAGTGCTCATAATCCAATCCTTTTTTACAAACCAATGAACAGACCAGGCTTAATGTTACAAAAAAAAAAGGTCACAACATCCAAAAAGCTAAGATTTTTGGTTTTGGCTATTACTTCCATCAATAACATAAATTCAAAGTGATAATGCAAGAGAATCCCAACATGAGAGGAAGTATTAAACTTTCTCAAGATTTCAAGTGTTCTAATGGCATCTCAAAACAAAAAGTGTGGCAATTTGTCAATGTTGCAGGACTCGGGAATTTCGACAGTCTTTTCCTTTGTCTGGAGATTTACTACCCATTCCCATATCCCAACCTCCAGATACACCAACCAAACGTAGAGAGTCTCACCATCATATAAGAATTTGAGCTATACTATAAAGAAGGATGCAAAGAAAAGCTTCCAGAATTCTTTTATCAAATTGAAAATGAAACTTAACTCAACAGTAGTATCCCAATTCCATGAGATTTTCTGGACAAATCTTGCTTTGCCTTTTCACCTTTCCTTATAATATTGGCCTACTCATAAATATGTGGTATTACTAGTCAAATTTTTATTAAGCAGTCTACACAATCAAGGAATCCTCCACATGGCCATATGGTTGGGGATGAAAAAGAGATTTCTTGTTGCCCTCTATTCACAAGAAATTTTCTCTTAACGGCTTAACCCCCTTGCATGTGGCTAATACAAGTCCTCTTTTAGGGCATTTTTAGATTAAGATTTTAAAATTTTGGATGACCTGTTTAATTCGGAAGAAATTACAATACAAGTTAGGTTTAGGGCTGATGCAGGCTGTAGGAATGAACATGCAACCAATCTAGAGTGCTCCCATCTGATGAATAACCAGGATTGGCCATGGGATTCCCTCCACATAGTCGAATAGGTGTCCATGTATGTGTATTGCCCCCTACTTTATTTTCTACAGGCTATATGATAGAGCAGGATTGGGCCTTTAAAAGTTGCTAATGACCCAAGCCTAGAGAGTCCCCACTTAATCAGAAGCCAAGGTCCAAAGGCCCATGCTTAGCCTACATAGTATGAGTTATTCAGAGACACTAGCACAGAGTTGTAGATAACTATCACCAAAATCACAACGAATTCCCAAGTATTTTGTATCTTTAAAATGTTATCCTTTGTTGGGCTGTTTATTTTGTAAGCCAGGGCTTATCATCTAATGAAAATATCTGCACTAGTAAACATCATCAAAAACACTCTTTGCCAAATTAATAGAAGGATATTGATTCATTAGTCTCCAAACCAAAAGTTAGGATCAAGTAATAAGACTATATCCTTAACTCCCTCTTCTTCTTCTCTCTACTGTTTTCGCAAAATATTATAAAGCTTCAGCAACACTAAGCAAATGCAACTTGTCCCTTCCATGTTGAGAACGTCATGCAAAATTTGTTGATATGATTCTTTTTTTATCAGTTCTTTTTTTTTATATCTTTTGAGGGGCTACACAACGGGGGTAGCTCATCCCCCAACCCAGGTGCAGGCGGGATTCAACCCCAAGTCTCTGCTATGATTAGCAGGAGACCTTACCAACCAGCTGGTAAGGTCTAATATCTTCTTATCAGTTTTGTTGATATGATTCTCTCCTCTTTCCTCCAAATGAGTCTAATATTTTCACATAAAAGTCCTACCAACCTCCCCAAATTGTTTACACTACTTCAATAATCTCATCTTTATGTGCATTTGAACATTAAAAAAATGGAATCTAGACATCCTACTTCAATAATCTCATCTTTTTATTTGTGATTTGTTTCATTTTTCTCTAATTTCTCTTTTTAAGAATGGTTCTCAGATGGGTCGTTCCTACAATTGGATAACACAAGTATAGGCAATGTGGCATTTCCTTAATTTTCCTCTTGAGGCAGAGGGAAGCCCACCAGGAAACGTCATAGAGGATCCGGACATGAATGAATTTTCAAGTAACCAGCAGACAACCGCCCCCCCCCCCCCAATTAAAAAGTAAAGTACAATATCTCACGAACGTCGGTAGGTGTCGAAACCTCTTAAGAATATGCACTTGTCATTCGGAAGCTTTCTTCTTACATTTCAACCCCTGAGAAGCTTCCCATTATTTACTTAGAATCAGAAGGATCATAGTGTTAGCACAAGCATAATCCAGTACTTAAATGAGAAATTTCAATTATCGTGATGAGAAGCTAAGCACTCACCTTACAATCACCATATATGATAATATAATGAAATAAACAGACTACATTGCATATAAAAAAAGACTATTACGTTAGTTGGAAAAAATTAAAAATATTTACCTTTCCTCTGGGAATAAAGAGGAGGACCTCCCATTCTCTGTACAAAGAATTCATACTGGTTCTGAATCGCATCCTCTTTCTTCGAGTTAGCAAAGATGGACCGAAACCACTCTTCATCATCATCGTAAACCCTTTATCGGAAAAAAAATAACAAATCATAGCACGAACCTTGAATCAACTAAAATCAGTACAGAGCACAAACTAAAGAAAAAAAAATGAAAGAAAATATTTCATTCTTGTTCATCTGAGAAAGAGGAGAGGAGGGACGAGGGAACCTGTTGTAGAAATTAGTAGAGAGAGTAACGAAGGTCTGAAGACCTAATAACTCGAAAAGATTTGTTTCGTCGATGGCAAAAGCATCGCTGGTGGAGACTCCGCTCCACTCCGAGGCCTTCTGCTGAAGAGACTGCATTCTTGCCGTATGGCGGTTCCTCCCTCCCACTGACTTGGCGGCCAACAAAACAACAAGTAATACTACGCAACCAGCGTATGTTATCTCGTATACTTAGAGGCAAGTGGACAGCGCGTGCGCGTGCAGATAACGGGAACGCTGCTTTTTCTGGGTGGGCTGCTAGTTGTGGGCCGGCGGATTCTCGATCTCGGAGAACCTTGCAAAACCATGGGCCGCAGACGGCAGACCAGAGAAGATATCTGGTTCTGAACTTTTCATCTTGATTGTTGAAGTATCGGATCCGATGGATCGGGTATCTAAAGCACACTATGTCGACATGATGTGTAGTATATGATGTAATATGGTGACAAGCAAAAGCAATGTCGAGAATTTTATTTTACCGAATACAAGGGTCAAGGGTCAAGAGACCACCTAATCACATCAGTAAAGCTAAAAGCTACAAATTCTTCGTAAAAGTTCGGATGGGGATGTCCGGGGCCCGGGGGGTTTTGTATAGCGATGCAAATGGATCGGATTGGAATTAGGGTATATAACGAATCCGATCCGACATTGTTTATGTTGGATTCAGTCGGGCCTGATAGGATTTTAGAGATGCAAATGGATCGGGGTCATGATCCGATCCAAGATTCGGTCATATCTGGCCGGATTTGGGTCACCCTCTATCTGATCCGATGTGTTATATTATATTATATTATATTATACATAATACATATATGTTATTTATTTATAAATATATTATTTATATTATATTTTTATAAATTTGTTGTATTATTTATTTTTTTATAAAAGCATGTATATATATGATGAAAATAATTAAAAAATATTTGTATTTTTTATTTTTTCTTTATTTAAATTGGTATATTTTATTTTTTCTTTTAATAATTTATTAATTTATAAAGAAAACAAGTCGGATCAAATCAGATCTGAAGATCCGATAGGATTTGTATTCAGATTGATTCCTATCAGATCCAATCGGATTGGACCCGACATGAACAGTATAGGATAGGATTCAAATAATACCCTGATTTGAATCCGATCCGATCTGTTTGTATCCCTATAGGACTCGATTTGAATTTGAATACGATCGATAAGTTGGATCTTCGGATATAATCCGATCCTGTTTGAATTGTCTTTGTTCTCCAGAAGAATTAACCTGAAATCTGTAGATGAGGCAAAACTATATGCTATATTGCAGGGAATTCAGCAAGCATTGCGAATGTCCAAAGAAAATCATGTTTGGATGCACAGAAGGTCATTAACGCGTTGAAAAATCAAGTTTCTCTTCGTTGGTGGTGCCTTGGGCTTTTGACAACGGCCAAGCAAAAATTAACATTTTTTTCAAGTGGACTTTTTACTTTGTATATAGAACTTTTAGTTCTTCTGAGCGTGCGCGCATAAGTTTATCTAAGGTTTAAAATATTGTAGGTGTATCGTATCGTTATCTTTTAATTTTGATACTTCTATTTTACAGGTGTTTTAGGACCCTGATTTATTTCAATAAAAAAAACCATTAAAAAACGTCTTTAAAAATCGTATTTAAAAAAAAAAACTAAAATAAAATCATTAAACATATATTTTTAAATACCGATATGCCCCTGCCGATCAGAAGCGTATCAATACTCTGAACCATTCGTTTATCTTTCAAAAAACTAAGCCGGCGGTCCTCATGGCTCACCGTGCAAAAACTCATTTTGCAGGAATGTTTTTTTGTGTGATAGCTATCCTCAAGGGATACCAGACTATGTTACTTCCAATATAGATTTATGCTTGCACATCCCTTTCAGTTAGGAATCTGAATTGGATCCCATAAACAAAATTTTCCAACAATTCACTGTGTTGCATCCCTTTGACCATTCTACTATGTCTCAAGGGTGGGCAATAATTTCCAACAATTCATAACTAAAGAAGGTTATATTTCAGTAGTAAATGCCATATTGAGGCTTGCAATTGAATTACCATGAAGAAAATTACACTTAAAAAACACACACAAAAAGGCTAATTACTAGTAAGGAAATTACATTTGCTTAATTAATTACATAATTTACAAACCAAACATTAGTTAGGCCTTCAGAAAAAAACATTAGTAAATAATTTTTAAGGTCATAACTGAATTATGAGATTTTATGATTCAAAAGCATGGTTTTGAAAATTGGATCAGACCAGACGGTTGAACTGGTTTACCCTGACCTGGGTGGTCGAGCTGTCAACCCATCAATCCAGACAACGTTTTTTGGATGTTTTTATTCTTTTTTATTTTTTATATCAGAACAGGTTGTCCATTCAAATAGGATGGTCAGACCATTTTGACCCAGGAACCAATGGCCAGAACAGTTCCATGTCCAATACAGTTTTTTCAAGAAAGTTATTTTAAGGGAGAATGACTGATCAGTCCAGGTCAAAATTTTGTAACCCCACTGTACAGGGGGATGAATCATGACCGTGAATTGATGCCAAATTCATGGACAGAATGTGATTTATAGGGGGGAAGGGGGCTACTAATATGACAAAAATTTTGCATTGGGTTGCAGAGTACTTAACCCTTATTTTAAAGGGTGATATTTGTTGTGCCCTACTGGCAAAGAGTTTCAAGGGCAGGTTTTGGTGAAAGTATGATGGGTTCTGATGCAAGTTGGGTTTTGGTGAAAGTATAACATTTAACTCTTTTTTCCTTTAAGCTATGTTTGGTTAGATAAAAAATAACAGAAGAAACCGATCCAAATCATGGTCGGTTTTGAAATAAACTTAGGACATCACATCAACTTTTTTTTTTATTTCAAATGCTGGTGTTTTAGCATTTTATTGGTTCATTGGGGTCGCATGTGACCTCAGTGGCATTAGATTTTGCTTAAAAAATAATAGAGAAATAAAATATTGAAAGAAAATTTGGAAGGAAATTTGTGAAATTTGTTAACTTTCCTATTTCTCTTTTTTTTTTTTAATTCAACCAAATACACCTTAAGGGCCATGTTTGTGTGTAATTGTCAATTCTCTTGTCTCGAACCCACAAACATGAGAATAAGGGTTTAAATATCAATACATCTAATACTCAAACATGAATATCGATGTGTATCAATTTTATCAATACTGATGTTTTTTTATATTTTTTTTTGTTTTTATTTTATAATAATTGGGGGATTGGGGAAAAACTTGAAAAGCTTTAAAAAATCAAAATATATGTGTATCGATATATCCAAGCTATCTTTGTAGAATACCAATATAATACATCCCTTATCAAATGTATCATATCGTATGAATATTTTAATCCTTAATTTGAAGTAATCCACTCCCAAATCAATTTGGCACTTGAAAAAGACCTTGATTGTTTAGGGGATGTTTGGATTCCTGACATAGATAAGTAACTTTTCAATTGATATCAAATCTGCCCCATTCTCGCATGTCTCAAGTGGGGACTTTGTTCAATTTCCCAACACCTTTGTTATTGTACCCCACCTTTGTTACTGTTTTGACAAAAGTTTACATCAGTTCGCCACAAGGGGGCGCCTAAAACGTTCACCACCTTTCTTTGTACTTGTCATCGGGAAATGTTTTCAATACATGGTTGGGATGTGCTGTAGGGTGTTTTCAGGGGCTGATGTAAACTCTTTTGACAAGTAAAATTAATCACTGAAAATTATAATATTTTAATATTAACTAGTCCAAAAAGATAAACTCATACTAGACATGTGGTAAGAATCACTAGTCAATAGGAGTGGACTTGGTCCAATCCTGTCTAGTCCAATCTGAGTCCATTACAAATGGACCTGATTCAATCCAATCCAATGAATATTTTAGATCATTTTGGATCGGTCCAGACACTTTTCAATCTGTTCAAATTCCTGTTAATTTAGATAGGTTTCAATTCAAACCAGGTCCATTGACACAATATTCTTATCTTCTATCAATGAACCCGATATTGGCTCAAATCCAATATAAGTTCATTATGGACAGACCAGGTCCAATCCAATATGTCATATTGGTTCGTCCAGTTCGTCCAAATTCAATATGTCTTATTGGTCTGTCCAATCCATCCAAATAAATTTTGATTTAGACGGAATCCAACCCAAAACCGATCCATTGACACTGTAGGGGCATTTTAAGCCCAAATCAATTTGCCACATCGACAAGACCTTGGTTGTTAACGGATCCAAAAATGATATGTTATAAATGGATCCAAATTCAAGTTATTTGCATTGATCTTAATTGGACTTCGTATTTGAATTCGGAGAAATGGATACCGAATGCAGCTGTATGACAAAATTGATAACTGTTTTACTGGCTTATGAATTGTGACCCCAGACAAAAAGGATGATCATGGGTCGGGCTGGGCTAAGCTATTCTGAAAATTTTTATAGCCTAGGTCCGATGAAAGCCCATAACACAAAACCTAAGCCCAAGTCCAGAATTTTTGGGCTGGAATCCCATAGCCTATAATAACATGATATAGGATCAGTTTATTATAATATTTGTTCTAATACTATTCCATAATAGTTATAAAATATATGGGCCCATCATCATTTAACCTCCAGTGTCAGAATTTTATTAAAGCACTAAATGTAGGTGCTAGGAATTGATGCCAATTTATGACGAATATGAGTGCATAAAATGTGAGATTTTAAACTTTTGAATATTTATAGCTCTACAGTGAATGCATTACTTCTCCGTATATTTTATCATTGATTTGACAGTTCGATATATAGTGTAACACGTGTCAATTTTTCCGATAGATCCAAAATGGTTAATTGCATGTGGTTATTCGTAGCTTTTTGTGCCTATATAAGTAGCATAAACGTGAAGGAACTGAAACTAGAAAAAAAGCTAAGGAGACAGAGAACGATGTCAGAGAACAACATCAGCATTCCGGAAATCAAGTTCACTAAGCTGTTCATAAATGGAGAATTCGTGGACGCCGTTTCAGGTTTCTCATTCGTTTCTTCTTCTTAATGTATTTTGCTTGTAAAACTGTTCTTTTAACCTTCAGTTTTCGGAGGAGCTCCTTTAATTCTCTTTGTCAATTAATGAATCATAGATGATTTTTTTTTTTTTCTTTTTAGAAGCCATTTTTCGCTTAGGCTCAGTTTGGTAGGAGTACAGATACAAATATATATAATGCAAAACCTAATTGAAAATAAAAAATAAAAAAAAACAGTTCCTTTCTATTTGTTTTATTTTGTTTTAATGAAAATTTGTGATACCGGAACGATATGGTACCGGAGGAATTTTGACCAATTAAAGTAACTTGTGAATTTTGAGGAATAACCTTAACACCTGATTGATGACCCCTTTATCATGTCGGTTGGTTGGTTATAAGTTTTCCTGATATTATATATAGTCAAATTACTTGTTTTATTTATGTATTTTGAGGGAAGGTTTAAATATGTTTATGTTGTTATGATAAAAACCAAAATGTTTTATTGACCGGATGTTTTCAAAACGAAATAATTTTCATTCCTTTTAGATGAAACAAACGGAGTTCTAAAGACAAATTACAGTTGAATGCATTTATTTATTTTTTGGTTATCTTCTATCCATCAGTCCATTCTGTTGGACTTGGGAGTCTGGATAGAGTACAAATCTACTCCAAACAACAATGTTTTCAACATGATTGGCGCCTCAAAATATGACCCCCCCAATGTGTACAAAACATGTTTGAAATGTATAGATATAGATTATGTTGGAAGCATATTGGAAGTGTTTTTGTTGAATTGGGATTAGTTGAATGCATCAGCGGGCTGTGGATAAGGGTGGATTCGAATCGAATTGAATATCTAGTTTTTTTCGAACTTGGTTCACCAATAAATTATGAAACCCGATCATGGCCCAACTTGAATTTAAAGATCGGTTTAGATTAAGCCGTATCAAGCTTTTCACAAGCCAAGCTTAAATAACTCGTAAAAAGCTTAACTCATGGTCATCCCTAGGTGGAATCAATGATAGTATTCCACACGAGTAATAAATTCATGTGCTCCATTGGAAAAGGTGTGGATCCCATACATTTTACTAAAGACATGAGACACCATCATTGGTTTCACAGCCTGCTGAACAACCACTACACTCAGCTAATCCTTACTCGTTTTGTTGAGGGTAGATCTGGACTTATTTGAATAAAGGGATACAAGAGAATCGGACTACCAGGTCAATCTAACCAACATTAGTTGTTGGTCTTGGGCCATTATTGTCCAAATCTATTTCTAGCTCGATGCGTGTGCATTGCTTGCTATGCAAGTGGTTACATAGCAAGTGATACACAACAAAACGAGCAGTAGATCCCAAGTGTTGTGTGATAGAAAATTTTGATTGTCCATGTAGCCATGTCTTCAGCCGTGTTTTCAAATCTATTGTTGACCTGGATGGTCAAACTATTTGAATTGTTATCTAGCCATGCTTTTAGGTTTGATTTGGCTAAAATCTAAGATTTTGTCAAAACCTGTTGACTTGGTAAAAATCATCCAACCCAAATAGTTGAACTGTTAATCCGCTCAATCTGGTCTTCAGGTCACAACTTATAAGTTGCACACTCAATACATGTGTAAACTTTCATATACCATAACTTTTTGAAAACCTTTTTGAGATCTATATGTCCCAAAAGACCAAAGGAGCCTTGCCCTAGTCAATTTTTTAAAACATTGGTCATCAACACCGTTATTGTTGCATGAAGTTCAAATAAACCAACATGTCATATAGAAAAAGCCCCATAGGTAGCACAACTCTTCGAATGTGAATAGCTAAGATTATTCCATGTCAATGCAAAGGGTTGGGCGTCGCACAAAGGTGACACATAGGGAGAGCCAAAGCAATGGTAATGAGTAAGTGATGATGGGCCTAAGTGTTTAGGCCACTTAGATGGATTCTAATCGGGTGTTAAATCCATGAACACATTAGATCAGTAACCTACATAGTTCATACCCACAGTTCACGAGGACCATAGCTACAAGTTTAAGTGATGAGAGAACAAGTGAATACACTTAGGCTATGTTTGGTCAAGGAAAAAGTAGGAAAAGGAAAGGCAAGGAAACTTTTACAAACCTTGTATAGATTTTGATATTTTTTTCTTCCTTTTCCTATCTTTTCCTTCAAACCAAGCATAGCCCTAAGATTCGTTGCTTGCACCGATGTACATCATGCACTATGTAATTAGTGTTCACTTGTGGCTGGTTAAATAGCCCATCTACATAGCATTGCAAGCAATAAATGAATTGGGATTAGCTGAATGCAATGTGTTCAGTGGGCTGTTGAACCAAATCAACCAATGACGGTGCTTCACACCAATAATAAATTCATAAACCCCACTATGAAAGGTATGGGTCCCATGTATTTTATTACACTATTATTGATTCCACAGCCAATCTTCGCTCGCAGCAGAGATCCAAATTGACGAGTTAAGATATGCTAACCATAATTAGCACACACACACATATATAAGAGATCCAAATTGATATGTGTGTGTTTATGTGTGTGTCTTGCGGAAACAAAACTGATTTGAAATGCACCAATTTGTGACCTTTCCTTGGGGCTTATGTCATTGTTTGTTTTTTGATTATTTTTTCTCTTTTTTGGGATGAATAAAAAATAGGAAAAACATTTGAAACGATTGATCCAAGAAACGAGGAAGTGATAGCTCAAGTTGCAGAAGGAGACAAAGAAGATGTTGACCTAGCGGTCCAGGCTGCTCGAGAAGCTTTCGACCATGGAAAATGGCCTCGTATGACTGGCTTCGTAAGTTTCCCTTAGTCCCATATCTTTCTCTCCACTCTTTTTCTTGCTTTCTTTTTATTTCCTTGGTAACATAGTTCACTGTTCAACTTCTCAGAGGGAATCCATAGAAAGAATAGAACCAAAATGTAAGAAGATGAAAAAATAGTTTTTGTTTTTAGTAAAAAATCATTAAAAGCAGTCAAACATATTTCCACAAGGGCACATCATCCATTATAGTATAGTCTAATCTTTGTTTGCTGCTTCCTTGCCTAGGAAAGGGGAAGGATAATGATGAAATTCGCGGATTTAATAGACCAAAATATAGAAGAATTGGCTGCCATTGATGCTATGGATGGTGGAAAGTTGTTTAGTTGGCTCAAGTCCAATGACATTCCAACAGTAGCAAATTTCCTTCGTTATTATGCAGGCGCTGCAGATAAAATCCATGGAGAGATGTTGAAGATGTCAAAACAATATCAAGCATACACATTGCAGGAGCCTATTGGTGTTGTGGGTCTTATCATCCCGTGGAACGTTCCCTCTACCATGTTCTTTATCAAGGTTGCTCCTGCCTTAGCCGCTGGCTGCACTATAATAGTCAAGCCTGCTGAGCAAACACCACTCTCTGCTCTATGCTATGCCCATCTTGCTAAGCTGGTAGGCTTCAACCCATCAACTCAAAATACATATTTCTCAAGATTGATTAACACACTCATCCCACTTAGGTTCCATTTGTTGGGTAAATTTTTCCTGAAAAACACTTATCCGGGTAAGTGCATTTATCCATGTTCTTTTATCTCTTAGGTAAATAAGTAATGGCCATTTTAGTCATAAAAATCCATTATTAAAAAGGGCATTTTTGTTCCATTCAAGTGTTAGCAACTTTTCTCCTAGGTGAGAATGTTATTTATCCACTTAGGAGATGGGGAAAATAAACTTTCCCTAATCCCCACATTAATCTGAAAAATAAACATGGGATTCTTGGTCAATGTGAAGCAAATCCTACTGACCGCATTCCCCCCTCAAAATCCAAAAAAAGAACACCCCCTTAGGGTTTATTCATTTTTTGGATTTTGAGAGGTGGGAAGTTGGTGGATGGGATTTTGGTTCCCATTAATCAAGATACCTATGTCCTTTTTTTTCAGATTTATGTGGAGTTCCCTGATATGCATCTCTCAAATTAAGTCTCAGGTGGGTAAGTAACTTTTTTACCTGGGGGAAGTTGCTAACACTTGAATTGAATGAGACAAAATTGTCCCTTTTAATAATGGTTTTTTATGATTAAAACGGTCATTGTCTTGTTTATTTGGGAAATAAAAGAACATGTGAACAAATGCATTTACCCATGTAAATATTTCCTAAGAAACACTTGCATTTACTTGGATAAGTAACTTGCTCAAAGAAGAACAGGCCTTATAGTTTCTTTAATCTAATTTTTTTCTCTCTATAAGCCTGTAACCCATGAATTATAGTTTCATTCTTGTCCCTCCAATTCTACAAGGCTGGAATTCCTGATGGAGTACTCAATGTTGTTACTGGATTTGGGCGTACGGTTGGTGCTGCCATTAGTTCTCATATGGACGTTGATAAGGTAATCCTTCCTCTCATTTCATGATGTCTTAAATGGAGAATTCTTTCCTTTCAACCTTACTTTGCACACTCTATTGACCCTGGGTTTTTCATGTGATGGATTAATTAGGTTAGTTTTACAGGGTCCACAGAAGTTGGGAGGTTAATCATGAAGGCTGCAGCAGAAAGCAATTTAAAGCCAGTTTCACTTGAATTGGGTGGGAAAGCACCTCTTCTAATTTTTAATGATGTTGATGTGGACAATGCAGTTGATCTTGCTCTTCTAGCCAATTTCTATAACAAGGCAAAATCCTTTCTCTTTCTCTTCTTTTCTTGATTTTCTTTAATTATATTTGACAACTACTATTAGTGTAACTCTGATAATTAGCTCTAAATTCAGGGAGAGATTTGTGTAGCGGGATCCCGTGTTTATGTTCAGGAAGAGATTTATGATAAGTTTGTGGAGAAGGCAGCAGAAAAGGCTAAAACTTGGGTGCCCGGGGATCCATTTGATCCCAATGCTCGAGTGGGACCTCAGGTGAAGTTGTTGATTAGTCATTCAATTACCCTTTAAGCTGCATTTGGAAACATGCAAATTGAGTGTAAATCCCGGTTCAGAGTAAATTTGCACTTTGGTTCATTTTTGCATATGTTTGGCAACATTGCGTTTATGTATTAACAAATGACAAAACACACAGAAAAGACATTTTCCGATGCATATTTACATAGATAATAAGATGTAAAAGTACATCAATAAAAAAGAAGTAAATTTGCATTCAAGTGGGCTTTTGATAAAAAAAGCATATACTTTATTGGAATTCATGTTTACATCCATTACAACTACAAGTCTGTTTGGTAAGAAGGTAAATTTGTCAATGCAAAACTAACTCAACTTTACAATTTATATGGACCGTTTTACACTACATATTTACATTCACACTTATTTGCATATTTAAACCATGCAAAAATGCGTATTTGGAATAATGCCTTCTTAAGCTAAATCAAGGTTGTAGGGAAAGCTTTGGAAGCAATGGTAGAAGCCTTTTTGTGCAATCCTTTAATATATACCAATCTACCATAAGAAGATTATATTCAAGTTGATCCATTACAGTATATTTATTCTCCATGCTCGATCTCTTCGACTCGAAATTTGAACTGGAGGAACAACTTCAACTTCAAGGACTCTATACTACTGTTCTTTATGCTATTATTTTCAGACCAATTCTAAAACAACCCTGTCTTATTAGCTCTTAGGCACGCAAGATATGGCTTAATTTCAATTGGATTCACCATAGAGCTTAGTTAAGCTACACTGAAGAAATGACCCACCAATTGATCAAGAACCATGTGTTTGGGGACCACTGGGAATGATGGAACTCATCCAAGTTCAGCCGAGCTTTGATTCCGGATCCCCTAATTATATTTCCTCTAACTTGTAGAAAACCAATTCTAGTTGTATCTTCTCTGGTCTCCCTTGGTAGTTCATGAAGTATGGAGTTCCATTATATTGCTTGCTCATACTAACCATGAACATCTTTGTTGCAGGTTGACAAGAGACAGTTCGATAAGATCCTTTCATACATTGAGCATGGCAAAAAGGAGGGTGCCACCTTGTTGGTTGGGGGTAAACGCTTTGGCGATAAGGGCTACTTTATTGAGCCCACCATTTTTGCTGATGCTAAGGTATAGTCTCACTTCTCAAATGTGCAGAAATCTGTAATTACAGAAAGGTAATCAGGGATTGATCGATAAGCAACTGTGAATTCAAAGGTTGTTTAATAATTTTGAATTACTACTTTGCCAGGAGGATATGTTGATAGTGAAGGAGGAAATATTTGGACCTGTGATGTCTCTTATGAAATTCAAGTAAGTGTGAAATTTCTCTCAATATCCAATTCAGGAATTTACAGGAATAACTTAGATTGAGTGATTCCTATTAGAAAAATATTGGTTATAGAATAGCATCTTTGTACTTTGTATTCTCTTCTAACATAGTAACATGTATATAATTCAGGACTGTTGAGGAAGCAATTGAGAAAGCCAACAAGACATGTTATGGCCTGGCAGCAGGAATTGTGACCAAGGACCTAAACTTGGCCAATAGAGTCTCAAGATCAGTGCGTGCTGGCATCATCTGGATAAATTGCTATTTTGCCTTTGACATGGATTGTCCTTTTGGGGGTTATAAGATGAGTGGGTTTGGAAGGGATCTAGGGCTACACTCCCTCAAGAAGTATCTCCAAGTGAAGTCTGTTGTGACTCCCCTCCATGATTCTCCTTGGCTCTAAATCCTTATCCATGAAATTAGACGAAAACAAAGAACTACTCAGATTGAATAACATAATGTTATTGTAGAGGAATCAAATTGTGACGACTTCTTGCTCATGTCCATGTATAAGAATTAACTTTGTATAAATCACCTCTGCTGCTTCCATATAATAATTCAAAAACAACTTTCATGCAATAAAATAGCGCCTGCTTCAGCCAAAGCCTAGGGGGTGAATAGATCACTTCCCTTGCTTCTTTAAAGCTCTAATAGAACCGTCCAAAAATTTTTGTATTTCAGTGAATGAGAAAATCAAGGTTTTTAAAATTGACCCGGACAACGAACCGGTCAGGGGTCCGGTTCCCAGGTCAAGCAGTTCAACCGTTCGAACTAAACAATCGGCCCATTCTGACAAAAGATTAAAAAATAAATAAAAAACGGTCAAAACCATTGAATGGTTCAAACGGTTCAACCGCCTGGGTCAACAGTTTGCTGACCAAATCAATATTTTTGGCAAAAATCCGATTTTGGGGAAAAACGGAACTGATTACCTACCCAGTTCCCGGTTTTTCCAGTTTGACCGTCCAATCCGGTCAAGTTTTGAAAACTATGGAGGAAATCATATGACCCATTGAAGAGGTCCAAGGTTAATAAATAACAAGAAGTAAAACTTGTGTATGGTCCAACTTCTTTCTTATTTCTTCTTTCTTCTAAAGAATTCTTCACTCTACTTTGTCAATTGAAAGTTTTGTTGTATTGATTACAAATAGGGGTGGATTGGTCGAATATCTGGATATTTGACCTTGACTCACAAAAAAAAATGTTAGGCTTGAGCTCGATTTAAGCTAGAGACTTGAGCTCGAATTCAGCTCAACTATGAGTCAAGCTTCATATAAAAAATATTATTTTTTATATATAAAAAATAAGAATTATAAAAATTATTTATTATATACATATAAGAAATAAAAATATTTTTATACATAGTTAGTTAGATAGACTAGTAAGTATGACAATTCTAGATGATGATAATGATAGTAATAATGTATCCAACATTTTCTATAAACTTTATGTATTTTTATTTTTTGTTTTTAATTATTAATCAAATGCATATTACCAAATCCAAATGTGACTACATAAACTACTCATCCAAATATGTGATAATCATATCAATTTGTGAAGTTTCAAGTATCATTGATAGAACTACCTGCTTGGCTAGACTTTTTTGTAATGTTTTATCTTTTTTTTTGTTCATTTATTAAAAAAAATGTAAGATTTAAATAAAGGGGATTAGAATGAAGTGAAAAGTAATAGTTCAATTTACAATTTAAACCTCATAATTAAATATGGACTAAATTCAAAAATGAATATTTTAGTCAAAAGAAAGTTTCATAATCTTATTCATATTTTTAATAGTAGTTTAAATATAGAATTATAGATATGTTCAATTTTTTTTTATAATTATTTTGTATTTTTATTTGTAAAAATAATTCTGATATGACACATTTACTTTTTATTTAATATGATAAATATATGATATTATACATGTGCCTATTTTTTTGTAAAATTTATGTAGTATTTTCATTTTCATATTTTTATATTTTAGTAATTTTTATTATTTATTTATTACATTAAAGGTTAATACACTTGACCCAAAAGTTAAACTATTGATCTTTGCCAAATAGTAAAATAATTTCATTTTTGGTCAATTCTAAATTATCTATCATTTTCATCATCAATAAAATAATTCTTGTTTATTACAGTTATTTTTCTAATTTGATTAACAAAAATATCATAAATGTGTCTATTTTTTTTTCATTTTTGTAATTTTCTATACTTTTTTTATTTTAAAAATTTTATTATCTAACTATGACTTCATAGGTTGATCAATTTGATTTGGATGATTGAATTGATTAGCCACCACTTGGATAAAGAATGGTTTTGTTTTTGAGTCAGTTTTAAAATATATATTGGGCTTGAGCTCAATTTAGATCGAACTGAATCGAGTTTTTCATGAGCTGAGTTCGAATAGCTTGTAAAAAGCTTAATTCATTTTCACCCCTAATTACAAAAGAGAAATAGTGATTTTGTTGCTCAAATGACCGACCATGCAATGCGCTCATAAAGACTAACCATTTATGGGTGCCACTTAAGGCATTTTTCAAAAATAATCAAAATGCTCAAATTTGTTTTAACCATCTAATTCGTAGAGCACTTTGGAATTTTAATAATTTGTTTGTTTTCTCCGTCCCAATCAATATGTCAAATTTTTTAACCACAATAATTCAATGAACTTAATTTACATATCTAGTGGTCAATTATGATCCGTGTAGATGAATTCACTTACACTTAGGGCATGTTCGTTTCCTCTTAATTCTTATCTCTTAAGAGGAATCTTTTAAATTTAAGAGAAAATTGAGAAAAAAATAATTTTCCTTTTTTTTTACTCAATAAAAAAACTGATTTATTTATACTAAAAAACCTCAAAAGCCAAGAATAATGAAAGATCTCACTATAGCTTGAAAAAAATAGAAGGGATAAATAAAGTAACATATTATATATTTCTTTGTTATATATATATAAAGTCAGGCTCAGGCTCAGCCCGGGCTTTTTTGAGAAAGCCCAAATCCAATCTGAAAATATATCAAGCTTGGTGTTTTTGAGCCCAAGCCTTAACTCATGGGCCTAAATTCATATCCAAACCTGACTTAGAATGGGCTGTGCCAGGCCAACCCGTCAGGCTACCCAGCCCATGAATATATCCCTGATAATCTGAGTACCCAGCCCATGAATATATCCCTGACAATCTGAGCCACTTATTTAAATGTAAATTGATAATAGTATAGTAGTATCACGATAAAAACCTTATCAACGGGGCACATCATACAAAACAGTCGTATAAATGATTTTACTTTTAACCCAAAAATGATTTAGACACACCACAGGTGATTTAATTTGAATTTGATACAGTCACAGATTGCAAGTGATTTTATTTGATATAGCCACACCACATTTTGCATTCGGATGTGTTGCATGGGTATTGTTAAAACATGAAGAAGACTTTAGACTTTATTTGGGATAGGGTTGCAAATGGATGAAAAGTGGACTTTATCATTGGGGTACCCCATGTATTAAGACGATGTAGCATGGTTTTAAAAATTGGATTAGAAAAACTGGAAACCGGTCAGCAAATTGTTGACCCGGGTGTTAGAACTGTTCGAATCGTTCAACGGTTTTGACCGTTATTTATTTATTTATTATTTTTTGTCAGAACGGGCCGATCATTCAGTTCGAACGGTTGGACTGTTCAACTTGGGAACCGGACCCCTGACCGGTTCATTGTCCGGGTCGGTTTTAAAAACCTCGCGATGTAGCATCACTTTGTAGTATACACTATCCCTATGTATCCCTGAAGTGGAAGGCTCCAATCCAACAGCTCTAATAAAACAACTTGAAGAGATCCTTCCAAGCATTTTTATTCTCATTTCCAAGTGAATGTTATCTTTCTGCATGGTCTTTTAGTTGTTTACAAGTTGGGAAGACCGACTTTTGGTCTATTCCTGTTTGGCTCGTGTAAGATCTAGCCGCCAAAAGACGGTGCGTCGAAAAGACACGAGAAGCCCATTTCAGACTGATTTCGGGAAACTTTCCGCGTCTTTCGCATTTTAATCTCACACGAAAAGAAATTGACAGATGCACGGAAAGATACACGTCTGCTAAACTGTCTTCGAGCTACTCAGATCTTATATCAAAAGATCAATGCATCTTTTAACTGTCAAGAAGATCTTCTCAAAAAGACACATGGCGTTAAAAAATGAAGAAGAAAACCGAACAAAGGCCAAAGCAAATAAGTCCTTAACCACTTCAGCTGTTTTCAAACCAACCCTTAGCAAATGAAAACCATTCAACCAAAGGGCACCCCCTAATAACGGCACATGATCCTAAGTTGTTGCAAGTAATTTCATTAGGAGTTACCCCTTTTATTTTGCGATGTCAATTTTAATTAATTATAATTACGAGCAGTATTTTTACAGGGACCCAGCACATGCACATCCCAAGACTAAGAGATATGAGGTACCCTGATACCCTCCCCTCTATTGCCACCTGTCATGTGCTTACATTGGGACCCACAATCTACATGGAACATTTGAGCATCCCAGTTCAAATAGTCACCTGGCAACACCAACTCTTATCCCCCATCACTGCAAAAAGTTCACATATCCCTCCAAGATTTGCTATTACCTGAAGTCCTGAATCGTGAATAGAATTGAAGTAAAAAATACATTTCAGCTCCAAAACGGCTAAAAGATCTCTACATAAATGGAGATCCCCCAATTAAAACCGTAACTGTTAAGTGACAACACCTTCCACAGTTCCACCTACTACAGATTCTGAAAATGTAACTTACCCCCATTTTTTATATATATGGTAGTTTATTTACTTACCCTTGTCATCAGTCATCACCTTCTGTATAGAAATCAGACTCATCTACAGAATTTTTCACTCGCCTAACAGAAGAAAAGAAATGCCTAAGAACCTTCAAAAAGCTCTCCAAATTTACCTCTCTAAGCTCAAGAAACCCACCCCACAACTCTTCATCCCTCGTAACGCCATCACATCTTCTACTAGTTGGATTTTATCAGGATGCAAGTACCCAAAGACCCCTTCATTTGCAGTCGATCGTAGCAGACCAGACAGCCATGACAACGACGCTGCCGCACTCGTCGACATCGACCGTTTCCAGTTCGAGAACTTCAGTTCCCTCTACTCCAATGGTAGCGACGATGAAACCATCCGCTTAGGAAGCTCGTCTGGTTTCTTGTTCGAGTCGCCCAGGTTCGTCGACCCACCACCTGACCTCCACGCATCACAGAGATTCTTCGTGTCTCCCGGCACATCAGGTTCACTAATCGAAGAGGCCCGACTGAGCGCGTCGACATCTGATGGCATCGGTTCCAGCTCTACAACCTTTCAGGACTCTACAACAGAGTCCGTAACTGTGTCTTCTGAGACAATGGGTCTCAACCTCCCCAGCGACAGCATCGCCGTGCTGACATCTTCATCGGATCCTTATGAGGACTTCCGACGGTCAATGAAGGAAATGGTGGAAGACAGACTGCACCATCATCAGACCATCGATTGGGAATTCATGGAAGAGCTGCTCTTCTCCTACTTGAATCTGAACGAGAAGAAGTCATACAAGTACATACTCGGCGCCTTCGTAGACATGGTCGTTACTCTACGCCAGAATTCCCAGACGGCTCCGGCAAAGGCGGGTAAAGATTCCGGGGACCGGAGAAAGGAGAAGGAAAGGAGATGTAACGTAAGAACTGAGTCGTTGGTTTCATGAGAGGAGCATAAATGCCGGCGCAAGAAAAGGTTATGTGCTTTTTGAGAATTTATAAATAATTAAATTAAACCACTGTATAATTTTATAGATCAGAGAGGCACTGCGACCACCTTTTTGTCTCACACGCAAAAATTATTAGTTAAAAGGGATGATTTCAAAAGGAAAAATTGTTTATGATTTATGATTTGTTTTTGCATGGTCTTTGCCTTTTTGGTGAAGATTTCACAAATATCCGGGTTTGTGTTGTCCATGGCATGGATATCAGTGTATCTGGTCTGGTGTGTCATACACTCAGACCCGGAGTTCGGATTTTGTCGACAACTTTTCTTTTACTTAAACGGGGAAAACAGTTCAAAGCTAAAGGGTTAATTTTCAAATAACAGGTAACAGATAGTGTTGCTAACTTATGGGCACACCCGTTCGCCTATTAACGAACAATTAACAATTGGATTGATTCAACTTTCAAAACTGCTTTTCTTATTTGGATAAATTGTTGAAAGTTGAAACTTCCCCTGAAGTTGCAATCATCTCCATGAATTTTTTTCCCTTTGTTAGAATTCTCTAAAAAGAGATATGAAAATGTGAATATCCATGTAATCTCATTTTGAAAAGAGTACAAATACAAATATGTAGAATGCAAAACCTTCTATTTTGTATGCATTTGCATAGTACATTTTAGGCCTTCCAAACTGAGCAGTAGTTATTTTTGACCAAAAATGTTTATTTTTCAAAATTTCTCCTCATATGACTCACTGGCCCAAGCCCTTCCGGTCTCTTTTCTCAAATTCAATTATTTTCTAAACCTTTATATCAGTCCAACGTTTTCGAACCACCGTTGACCCGGACAGTTGAATCATTCAGCCCGGAAATCGTTCAGGCAACTGGTTCCGTTTTACTCAAAACCTGGAATCTGGTCAAAAACCGTTGAAAAAATCAACAAACCGTTGACCCAGGCAGTCGAACTGTTGACCTGTCAACCCGTTCAACGGTTTTTGACCGTTTTTTATTTTTTCTATCAGAACGGGCCGTCCATTCGAATAGGATGGTCAGACTGTTGACCCAGAAACCAGTGGCTAGAACAGCTCCGTTTCTGGGTCGTTTTTTAAAACGCTGTATCAATCAATCAAAGGTGAAGCTACAAGTTTAAATTCTCTATTTTTGTTGTTTATAAAGTTTATATGTTTTTTGTAGAAACTTTGGTAGCAATTGCATGGATATTTTGAATATTTCTGTGCTTTTTGTTGAAGATTCTAGTTGTGTCAAAAAAATTAAGAGGAGGTGATGGTTACATTTACCAAACTTCAAGGAAGATTTTAGCAATGATCAGAAACCTTAGGAGAGGTTTTAGCAATTTATCCTTTTTAGGTAAATTACAAATACAAATGCGACGTTTTAGTATCTTAAACTTTCATAAAAGCATCCAAATAAAAGCATCCGGAAACAAGTGAGAACATTTGAGTTCTCTAGTGAAAGCCTCTAGATGAAGAGAATAGATGAATGCTTACATGTTGGTTTCTATACCTAAACAAATGCATTGCCCACCATAATTTTTTGCCGCCACTGTTTGAGTGAAAAAAAAAACTGAAAGGGACAGAATTCAAAATGAAGTTATTTGTAGAAGCAAGGAATAGTTCCAACTTCGAATAGGTGATAAAATGAGAAAAATTAGACGAAAATAGTTTGGACACATACATAGAAATCCATCATCTGCACCATTAAGGAGTGGTTTGTTACACATTGAAGGGGCAGAAGAACTCGGGATAAACTAAAAAAACATGAGTACAAATAATAAAAAACGATTTAATAGAACAGATTAGTGAAACAAGATTCATATAACCAACCCATATAATTGGGATATGACATGAATGATGATGATGATATTATGAAGATGAACAATTTTTAAATTTTATTCTTATCTTAAGGCCAGTTCTCACTACCCGAAAGTATAGGGTACCTATAATTTATCCTTTAATATATTCTAATGATTTTGGTGGACCGATCCTCAAACTCGAAATCGTAGTAAAAATCAGTGTTTGCTGGAAATTGATTCTATTGGATGGATGCACCATCCTTCGTTTGGATTGATAAGGAAAAATCTCCAAAACGGACGGTAACGATCGTCGACTGGATATGGATGGTGGGGGCCAGGTCATGCACTAGGAGTCCGGACAGAGAGGTTAAACTAAGGTTAGGCGTGCCAATTTGTCTCAAAAGTCAGAATATCAGGATTCAGGAATAAGAATCGACTGTCCCACATTCTTGTTTGTTCAATAACGTGAAAAGAAAGAATAACCAGGAACAGGAAGAATCAAGTCTAGGGGACTAGGAGACAACTTAGGGTTATAAGATCTCTGAGGAAAAGATAGCCACGTGTCAACGGAAACTTGAAGGCATGACCACAATGCATGTGTGCACCAACGTTCTAAAAGACTGGATGTCAGGGTTGGTCGAGCCAGAACTGAACAATTGGTAGGTTCAAATTCAATTAGGTTAGTGAACCTAGTTGATCTGAAATAGGAAAAGACAACAAGAGTGAAACATACGATTCAATGATGGTTTAGCTTTAAGAAAGGCTTTTTCTCTTTGTCAACGTATTTTCGAGTACTAAAGTATATGAGACAAGAATATAATTAACGTTTACCCCAGTGCCCAGAGATGTTCATATAATATACAAAAGTATCAAGTATTAGAGACAAGAACAAAAAATAACTAAGAATAGATTACAATAATGTAAGCATACAGGATTTTATCCCCAAGAATTGTTTTAACTCCTAAATCCTCAACATCATCACAATTCACAACTCATTGTGTTTATTCAAGAGATAGTTACAAAATTACACCCACGTAATCTCTTTCATCTTTGGATAAGCCTCTATATAATCACCATTGCTACCCCGACTGGTTTTACAAATCCGTGTCTAAGATTCAAAGGTCAACCCAAACAAAACTTCCAGTCGCTAGATATCACTACTACAGTCTACACCCACTATGTTTACAGTCTCACCGTCAGCAGTCTACTCAACGGTTATGGACGTCATTTTATGAAGTGATGCACTTTTATTTTATCCTCTGGTTCAAGTCATGATAACATCTGTTCTATACTGTGAAGACTGAAATCAGTGTTGGGATAGCCACGGCCTCTATGCATTGTCTTCTGACTACAATTTTCAACGCTTGCACTGTCCAGCTATATTGGTTGCCATGACCTAGTCTTTCTTCCTTTTTAACTGACATTTCCAAAAGCAACTACTCGTAACATGGCACATGATTTACGGAACCATGGAACCACTCACCTTTTGTACTGGTCCGAAGCTCAAGGGCATTTGACAAAGCAATTCATTTGAAATAATAAGCAAGTCTTTGAAACACCTCATGAGTCATGACCTGAAGAGAACATCTGTCTGCTCGGACATCTTTGGCTTGCAGATAGAAAGTAATACACCATGTCATGTTACCCTGAACACTCCACAACAAATAGAAGTGTATAACTAAATAATATTGTCCAAATGAGAAGCAATGAAAAGCTATTCATCAAGAGAGAATCAATAATTAATTGGCAGCATATAACCTACCTCAATCAAGTGAGTTTATGACCTTATGAAGCAAAAACCCATTGTTCGTACAAGATACAATTTCCCTGAACAAACTAATCTGCAATAGAAACAGAATAAAATAGGAAGTTTCTTTAAGAGACATAAGATATGATTAAAAAGACGTTAAAAAGCACTTAGTGATGCTTCTCCAACTGCACTTGTAGCATCCAGTAGTAAATTTCCTATCAAATCATTTAACTTTGTTGTCATACATGAAACATTAACAATATACAAACAGTTGTAAAGATTGCAAGTCATTAAAAAGAAATAAAGTTTAATATTAAAAAATATCAATGCTTGTCAGAAAAAGATAGTATGACCTACCAACGGAATGGTTTGTCGCATCCACTGTCAACTGTTGCACATGCCTAAGATGTTGCTCATACATAGGGTGGTACTTCTCAGGAATATAATCCTTAAATCTGCTAATAACAACATTTAAAAGAGATCAAGATGATATAATGCCACCAATATTCTCTTTTTTTTTACTGTTTTTATCTTATAATCATTAGAGGGTTGGGGCCCACAATTCCAAAGTTTTAAATTTTATAAACTGCTCTTGTATTGGTATATCCATGTGTATCTGGATGCACCAATATGGAAACGATACACCCAATACCGGGTGCAATGTATCAATATTTTAATCCATGGCCATAAGCATTCATCTGCAGTAAAACCAATATTTGGTTTATCAAAATTGGTACAATTAAATGAAAAATTATATATAAAAAGAGATAAATGAGTAACCATAGTAAAGTTAAAGATTAATTATTAATTAAAGAAGCTAAGGAAATTTGATCCTTCGAACTCAAGAAGATGTAAGAGCCCTATCATGTCAATAAGCAAGAAATGCCAGAAAGCCTCAAGGAGCTCAACCGTGTATAAATATTATTATATTGAAAAGTTGATTTTTTTTCTATATATAATTTCCTGTAAACAACTACAAAGAAAGCATTTAATGTCATTGATTTTTTTCAATATATATATCCTGTCTAATATATAATGTCCTCTAAACACCATTCTTTTTACTTGCAACTTACATTAGATGCTATCTTTGTAGTTGTTTAAAGGAAATTATATATTGAAAAAAATCAATTTACTCAATATAATCATATGTTTAGACACTCACCAGGTGAGCCCCTGCGAAGCAGGGGCCCCTTTGCTAGTTAAATGAAAAATTATATATATAAAGAGATAAACAAGTAATCATAGTAAAAGTTAAAGATCAATTATAAGCTAAGGAAGCTAAAGGAATTTTGATCCTCCAAACTCAAAAAGAAGATGTAAGAGTCCCTCATGCCAAAAAGCAAGAAATGGCAGAGTGTCTTAAGGACCTCAAACCCTTCAATAAGAATGCCTACCAATTCAAAAGAAAACCAAAATTGGTAGCTAAGATGATCAATTATTTTTAATTCTAACACCAAAGATAAAATGATTTATCATATGAAAATTGAAAAAATTAGTAAGACAACTAATAGACAACAGAATCTATATGATAAATAGCCATGTTATAGACAAATAAATGAATAATATTATGTATTTATAGCATAAGTTTATATCAACAACAGCAACCAAATTTATATTTGGAAAATCAATATTATGCGGGCAAACTACAAAAAACAAGATAATTTAAATAACAGATCTTTGGTTATCTCAGAGAGCAAAGGTTGGATTTTGAAAAGATTTATGGCTGGGGATGATCCCCTATCCCAAGTATTCTCTAGATAACTATTTTTCTTCCTTGTATAATCAAATTATCTCCTTTATAGATTCAAACGATCTCAGAAATAATGATAGAAAATTAGGTTTTAGAAAAGGGAATGAAAGTGAAGAGGTCATCAATCTTCTTCATAAGATGAGGTCTTCATTCTTAATAAGGGTAGAAACAGTGCCACATTTGGATCTTGATCCTTATGAAACTTTGCACATCAGAGTGCTTATGCTATAGGAATAGCAACTCTACATCCTTCACCCCACCGAAGACATTTACCTTCTTAGGAATTGCACGTAAGAGATAATAATTATGATATGCTGAAAAGAAAAGTGAGATTTTTTATTTACATATATTTGCATTCTATACCTAAGGCTGACATGTAGAGATGGTTAACTGATCAGTGATCAAAGTCTTAGAGTTTGGGTAGAATAGGAAATGTAATTGTTTTTTGAAACTTAAGGTTTCTTGTGCGGTCATCTTTCTTGTGCCTTGATTTTGAGAGGTCAAACTCGTCTGTTTTCCATGATTTTGGTGCCACAAGAGCAAGATCTCATGAATGATATGTGGACAACACTTATTTCGATTAGGATGTGGACAAAAGTTATTTGATTAGGATCTCAAGGAATCAAACTGTAACTGTCACAGGATTTGAGTTTAGAAGTTTTATTTTAATTAGGATTTCTCCTAGATATTAAGGTTTCAATTTTTTATGGATCTTAACTTAGGGTCTTGTTTCTTATAAACAGCTATTATGAAGGCACTGTAAGAAGCTTTTATTATTGAATGACTTCTTAAGTTATTCCTTTGAGATTGAAAATTTTTCAATTTTCTCTTGCAAATTCAAGAGTTCTGTAAACTAGAATAAGATGGTAATATTGCTCTTCTTTGCACACTTACCACTATGTTATCAACTATCATATACACAGTCACTTTCTGCCTCAAATCTGAAAATATTTAACTGTTATGTTTTTCTGATATCCAGTTCAGTGTTCATCAAGATGTGTAATTCCCAATGGAATAGAATGTTAACATGCATACCCTAACGATGTGTTTGGTTTGAAGGAAAAAATAGGGAAAGGAAGGGAATGGTAAGGAAACCTTCACAAACCTTGTATATGTTTCCCTACTTTTCCCTTCCTTTCCCTACCTTTTCCTTCAAACCAAACATAGAATAAATACAATAGAAATGTGAATGGAGGTGCTCCACATGGTCATTTGCTGCAATTGGGGAAAAAAGGAACGAAACAATATTTCACTACGAGAATAAATAATGTAAATAACTTAATTACTATTAAAAGCATTCATTGGATATAGACATTGAAGATGTCTAGAGGGGTCACAACAGATTCAGTTGACAAGAGAACATTTATTATTAGATCCTGTCCTCATAGCCAGCCCCTTCTCCCCCCACAGGTGTTTATGGTTGTTAGCGTAGGGGTATTTCTGTCTTTGTACCTTGATTGATGTTGCTGATCTGTAATGTTGTGTTGAAACATGTGCTCTTAACTTAAGTAAGGGCACATAGGTCTTTTCAGTCATGTTTTAATAATAATATAAATACTTACTGGCCGACTGGGAGAAGTTATGTTGACTCTTTCAGTTCGAACCAGAATTCTCTCTTCTCTCTTTCTCTCTTTCTTTATCACTT